GGAGCCCGCAGTGTCCCCCCCCGGAGCCCGCAGTGCCCCCCCCCGGAGCCCGCAGTGCCCCGCCCGCTCACCAGCGGCTCCAGCTCCTTGGTGTCGATGAGGCCGAACTCGCGCACGAAGTAGTAGAAGTGCTTGTAGCAGGTGTTCACGTGCGCCTCGGAGCCCATGTGCGCGATGCGGTCGAAGTGGTGGATGTAGACGTGCACGAAGACGCGGAACAGCCGCGACAGGATCTTCTTCACCACCTGCAGGAAGTTCTTGGGGAACGGCGTGCCTGCACGGGCGGGAGGGCACGCTCAGGACCGCCGCCCCGCATCGCGGCCGTCAGCTGGCCAGGCTCAGAGAGGCTGAGACGCCTGCCCAGGGTCACACAGCCTAGTCCCCGTTCCTGAAGGCCGCTGTCCACTCGAGGGGAGGCGCCTGGTCTGTCCCTGGGAAGGCAGGAGCCCCTGTCTGCAGGACTGCAGCTCTCCTCCTGCAATGACTCCTCTCGGCTGCTTAACAACATGCGTGGCACGGGGCTGAAGCCTGCAGGTCAAGCCCACCCTGGCCGGCGCTCCACGGCAGCCCACCCTCGCCGGGAACGCGCCCAGAGCCACATCCCTTCCACCTTTGCCCAGGCCCGTGTGTGAGCCCAGAACATTCCCTCCCCACCCTCCCCACCTGCGTCCGGCCAGCTCTGGATCTGCTCTCCCCGAGGCTGGGTCTGGCCCCTGGGCTGCTGTATTTCTAGTTACATTTATTTTCCTTCAGAGAATGGAACAACCTATGAAAACATTTTTTGCTGTTTGATATTTTTCAGTTGATATATTTCTCTCTCTCCATCTCAAGTACGTTTTTAGAACATCACTGTAATGTGAATGTGTGTATCGTAGCTTAACTGCAGGCATACGCCACATTGCTGTTTCTTCTCCTATTCTTGGCGTTAATACTTTTTTTTTTTTTTTTTTTTTGGTGAGGAAGATTGGCCCTGAGCTAACATCTGTTGCTAATCTTTCTCTATTTTGTATGTGGGACGCTGCCACTGCCTGGCTGCCGACAAGTGGGGTAGGTCCACATCTGGGATCCGAACCCAGGCCGTGGAAGCGGAGCGTGCCCCACTTAACCACTAGGCTGTGGGGCCAGCCTCTCTTTATTTCTTTAATTGTGGTAAGATACACATAGCACGAGAGTCCCTCGACAGTTCATAGCGTCAGGTACAGTCACAGCGCTGGGTGCCCCCATGTGCTCCCTCCTGCCACCCCCGCCAGGACCTCACGTCCTCTTCGTCCCACAGGACCGATGGAGCCACGTGTTCACGGGATCCAAACAGCACCACCAGATGGGGCACTGGGACCAGGACAGACAGACTGGCCCTGTCCTCACAAGCTAACGGCCCGGTGGGGAGGACACAGATGTCGCTGACTGCGGGGAAAGCCAAGGTGTGTGAGGCACAGGCTTCCAGAAGATGGGAACCCCAGCACCTAGACGGCACGGTGATTCGGGGCCTGTGGTCGGCTGAGTAACAGCCCCAGAAACGCCCAAGCAGGTGCCCGGAGATCCCCGTGCGGGAAGGCTCCCAGGTGACGTCTGCGGCCAGACCGGGGACAGCCAGCCCTGACACTGGAGGGTTCAACAGCGGAGCCCACATGGCTGCCCACCGCCGGGAAAGGTCCGAGACGTCGAGACCAAAAAGGCTCTCCATGACAGGCCACGCCTGCCCCGCGTCTTCCCAGATGCCGCCCTGCTCGCCCTCCGTATCCGGGACAGAGGATTCTCAGAGCGTGACGGCTCGTGGTACTCGTATTCCGGCGGCTCTCGGCGCCGTGAAGGTTTTTGTGCTACGGGGAACAGGGCCCGGGGCTCCAGGGGGACTAAGTCTGCGGAAGGTTCGTTCAGCATCAACGAGGCCTGAGTTTTCTCCGCTGATCTCACGCCGTCCTTGAAGACTTTTGAAAGCCATGTGGTGGGACGGTCCCCTCAAGGGGTGGTGATCCCCATGCACTAGGGTCCTCGAATAGTGGTTATAAAATCCGAGACAAGAGCAAGCCCGCAGCAGGCAGAGAAAGGCAAAACGGAGCGCCTGGCTCGGCACCAACCTGCGGGACCCGGGCCTGATGCCGACGGCCCCTTTCCGCCCTCTCCTGGGAGAGTAGGGTGCCGGGGCCACCAAGGGCGATGCTGGGTGAACGGGGGGCAATGCACAGCAGCCAGCCTAGGAGAAGGGCGTAGAGATGGAACCTTCCAGGACTTCACTGCCCGCGCTGGCGACGATACTCTCACACAGGGGTCGCCAATACGGCCCACTGCCTGCTTTTGTAAATAGTTTTATTGGAACACAGACCCACCCGTTTGCTTATATGGTGTCCTGGGTGGCTTTCGGGCTACAACGGCAGATCTGAGCAGTAGCAGTCGAGACACAGACCGTCTGGCCTGCAAAGGTGGAAAGATTTACCATCCGGCCCTTCATGGGGAAAGTCTGCTGACTCCTGGTCTAATGTGCGGAGCAAACCGGGCAGGTTTTCCTCACAGTTCTGGAGGCCAGAGTCCCAATAGGTCTCCCAGGACTGAAGTCAAGGTGTCGGCACGGCTGGCTCCTCCTGGGGGCTCCAGGGAGAAGCTGTTTCCTGCCTTTTCTGGGCTCGTGACCCTTCCTTCTCCCATCGTCTCATCGCCTCGGCTCTTCTGTGTGTGTCGGATCTCTCTCTGCCTCCCTCCCATAAGGATCCTTGTGATAGCATTTAGGGCCCACCCAGATATTCTAGAATAACCTCTCCACCTCAAGATCCTTAACTTGAAGCAAGACGTGGTGCATCCACACAGTGGAATATGATGCAGCCATGAAGAGGAGTGAGGCCCTGACACAGCCACACCGTGGATGGACCTTGAACACACGATGCTCAGTGAGAGAACCAGACACAGAAGGACACACGGTGTGTGATCCCATTGATGTGAAAAGTCCAGAACAGGCACATCCACAGACAGAACGTGGGTTTGTGGTTGTCAGGGGCTGGGGGAGGGGATGGGGATTGACTGCTTACGGGGATGGGGCTTCTTTTGGGGTGACGGAATGTTCTAGAATTAGAGGTGGTGGTTGCACAACTCTGTGAATGCACTACATGCCCGAGCCTGGCTGGTCCCTTCTGTTCTCCACGTGGCCCCCCAGAGTGCTGAGGCCCCTCCCCGGTGCCGGGTGCCTCCCCCACCCCCCCCCCCCCCCCGCCATGGGCCCGCCCAACTCACCGACGTTGGTGGGGAAGACGTCCTCGTTGTTGATCTGCACCTCGATCCAGTCCATGAGCAGGTCCATGTACCTGGGGGCCGACAGGGCAGTGGGCTTGCGGAACTTCTGCTCGTCCTGCCAGCGGTACTCGTACTTGGGGCCGCCCGACATGACCGGGCAGGACTGCTCGGTGCAGCCGTCGCTGATGGTGCCGTAGATGAGGTTGACGCGGTTGAAGAAGTCCACCACATGCACGGCCACCCAGTCGTTGAGCTCCTCGCCGGGGGGCAGCTGCACGGCCAGCTTCAGGTCCAGCCCCGCGTTCAGTGACGCCTGCGCCTTCTTGTGCAGCTCGAAGCGCTGGGTGCCCGGCTCGAACTTGCGCTTCGGCCGGAAGGTCCTGTCCTTGTTGAACACTTGCTTCAGGAAGGGGCTGGACATCGTGGCCGCCCGCCGGCCCCGCACACTCCCTGGCGACACCTCCTCGGAGATGGCCCGGGCAGGACGTGTGCGATGGCCACCGACCGAGGGGCGATGGGCAGTTCACGGGGCCCCCGGGTCTCTCCTGAGATCTGGAACACAGAGAGGGGGAGAATCGTCACCCTTCCTGGAAACGCTGTTCTGAAAACACGGTGGGCGGATTGGGGATGCTTCCAGGTCTCATGGTTTTAAGATTTTATTTATTTATTTATTTTTCCCCCAAAGCCCCAGTAGATAGTTGTATGTCATAGCTGCACATCCTTCTAGTTGCTGTATGTGGG